GCCTGTGCTCCCGACCGAGCTGGCTGTACTTTGGTCTGCAGCAGGCAAACATGAGCCTCAGTCCTTTGGCTGAGGGTGGAAGAGGGAGCGGTTTTGCCACCTTGTCTGCCCATGCCACCAGCTGCAGCTTGGGCCCTTGAGGAACAGCTGTAGTGCATCTCCCAAGAGGCAGTGCTGGGTGAAATATTGCTGCCCTACTCTGTAATACGACAAAAAGCACCCACAGGTTCCCGTGGGTGCCCCGTGCAGCTGGTCACCCCACAGGAATGTCTCTGATAAGAGGGTGTAGCTACCCCAGCTGCCAAACGACAGTGTCCTCATAGCCCAGGATGTCTGTTCATTGCAAAATGTTCTCTTTGCCCCTTTAGGACTAATGCTCGCTTTCAAAACAGGTCCAATAATAAAAGAATAACAAGGAGAAGAAATGCTTAGGCTGCTGGGTTCAAGTCTCAGAAAGAGCCAAGCTTTCACATTGAAAGAGACTTTATTGTACAGCAAGGAGAGGCCAAAGAGTGGCTGCGGTCCTACTCGTGGACCTGAGAAACCAAGAACAAGTGTAAAAACAGTGATAAAAGGAAACTTAATCCTTGCAAAATACTAATCTCAGGGAGCCTGGGGTCACACCACCTCTCTGCTGTGAACAACATCCAAGGCCAGGGTGGCTTTTCAAAACAGCCCTTGCTCATCTGAACCTGAAGAACTACCCTGGGTACCGTGCACACTACGAACCTGAAGTGAAGGCACCGATACTGCTCTTACAAGTTAAGAAAAGATGTGGGTCAGCCAAAGTAAGAGGTGCTTCAGCAGGGCTGGATGCTTCTGCAGAGGCAGGGAGGGGGGGGAGAATACTGGTGTGACGCTGGTGAGCAGACCAGCAGGCACAATCCCCAGCTCGCTCTTCCATCCTCATACCCCAGGGACACAGCCAGGCACTGCCACGGTCGGCCAGGAAACCTTTGCTTCCCTGCTGCTTTTAGGACGGCACTTTCTATCTGCTGACATAGAGCAGAGAAGGGAACAGGCAAGACAGGCCATCCTCCCTCCTGCCAGAGGAATGAATGTGCTCATAAACCCATCTCCTTGGGAAATGGATTCATCATAGCAGTGAAAACAAACACTGGGAGGCAGAGGACTGGCAAAGGGAGGGGACAAAAGCCCTTTCCTTAGCCAGTGTGGGTGTTTGAGACTCCTGGCAGCAGAACCATTGTAATTAAAGGCAAGGAGCAGGCTGTCCCCATGTGCCGAAAGACAAGCCAGCAGGGAAGAAGACCAGCCTGCCTGAACAGAGAGCTTTGGCTGGAACTCAGGAAAAAAAGCAGAGTTTATGAACTTTGGAAGAAGGAGCAGGCAACTCAGGAGGACTACAAGAGTGTCATGCGGTTATGCAGGGAGAAAATTAGAAGAGCCAAAGCCCAGCTAGAAATTAAACTGGCTACTGCTGTAAAAGACAATTACAAATGCTTCTATAAATATGTTAACAACAAAAGGAGGGCGAAGGAGAATCTCCATCCATTATCGGATGCAGGCAGAAACAGTGACAAAGGATGAGGAAAAGGCTGAGGTACTTAATTCCCTCTTTGCTTCAGTCTTTAATAGTAAGACCGGTTGTTCTTGGGGTACCCAGCCCCCTAAGCTGGAAGACAAGGGCAGGGAGCAAAATGAAGCCCTCATAACCTAAGGGGAAATGGTTAACGATCTGCTACACCACTTAGGCACACACAAGCCTATGGGGCCAGATGGGATCCACCCAAGGGTACTGAGGGAGCTGGTGGAAGCGCTCACCAAGCCACCTTCAGCCGTTTATCAGCAGCCCTGGCTAACTGGGAAGGTCCCAGTTGACTGGAGGTCAGCACATGTGATGCCCATTTACAAGAAGGGCTGGAAGGAGGATCTGGGGAACTGCAGGCCTGTCAGTCTGACCTCGGTGCTGGGGAAGTTATGGAGCAGATCGTCTTGAGTGCCATCGCGAGGCATGTACAGGACAACCAGGCGATCAGGCCCAGTCTGCATGGGTTTATGAAAGGCTTGACTAACCTGATCTCCTTCTATGACAAGGTGACCCACTTAGCGGATGAGGGAAAGGCTGTGGATATTGTTTACCTGGACTTTAGTAAAGCCTTTGACACCGTTTCTGACAGCATTCTCCTGGAGAAACTGGCTGCTCGTGGCTTGGACAGGCGTACTCTTCACTGGGTAAAAAACTGTCTGGATGGCCAAGCCCAAAGAGTGGTGGTGAATGGAGTTAAATCCAGTCGGTGGCCGGTCACAAGTGGTGTTTCCCCGAGCTCAGTATTGGGGCCAGTTCTAATATCTTTATTGATGATCTGGACGAGGGGATCGAGTGCACCCTCAGTAAGTTTGCAGACAACACCAAGTTGGATGGGAGTGTTGGTCTGCTCGAGGGTAGGAAGGCTCTACAGAGGGATCTGGACAGGCTGGATCGATGGGCCAAGGCCAATTGTATGAGGTTCAACAAGGCCAAGTGCCAGGTCCTGCACTTGGGTCACAGCAACCCCATGCAACGCTACGGGCTTGGGGAAGAGGGGCTGGAAAGCTGCCCGGCAGAAAAGGACCTGGGGGTGTTGGTCGACAGCCGGCTGAGTACGAGCCGGCAGTGTGCCCAGGTGGCCAAGAAGACCGATGGCATTCTGGCTTGTATCAGAACTAGTGTGGCCAGCAGGAGCAGGGAGGTGACTGTCCCCCTGTACTTGGCACTGGTGAGGCTGCACCTTGAGTCCTGTGTTCAGTTTTGGGCCCCTCACTACAAAAAAAGGCATTAAGGTGCTGGAGTGTGTCCAAAGAAGAGCAATGAAGCTGGTGAAGGGTCTGGAGCACAAGTCTTATGAGGAGCAGCTGAGGGAACTGGGGTTGTTTAGCCTGGAGAAAAGGAGGCTGAGGGGAGACCTTATCGCTCTCTACAACTACCTGAAAGGAGGGTGTAGCGAGGGGGGTGTTGGTCTCTTCTCCCAATTAACAAGTGACAGGATGAGAGAAAACAGCCTCAAGTTGTGCCAGGAGAGGAAAAATTTCTTCACCAAAAGGGTTGTCAAGCATTGGAACAGGCTGCCTAGGGAAGTGGTTGAGTCACCATCCCTGGAGGTACTTAAAAGAGGTGTAGATGTGGCACTTAGGGACTTGGTTTAGTGGTGGACTTGGCAGTGTTAGGTTTATGGTTGGACTTGATGATTTTAAAAGGCCTTTCCAACCTAAATAATTCTATAATTCTGTGATTCTATACCAGAAGGGCAAGGGATGCTAGGAGATAGATTGCAGCCTGCTGTTTATGTTCCTAGCCAGCCCTGTCAATACCTTCCCCTCTACAGCAAAAACATGTCCCTTATAGTAAATAAATACATAAATAAGCCCTTTGAAAAGCCCAGCGGCTGTGACGTGGGAGAGCTGAAGAGCACGTTGTGTCCCTGCTCACACATCCGCTCTCTCTCCGGAGAAGCTGGGCTCTCCTTTCTACACTACTAATCTCTGGCCTATTTTCAAACATAAGGGGGCATTTGATAACTTAGGTCTCTTCCCTCCCTCTCTGCCGAACCCACTGCCTCGGCAGTGTCCTTAGGCAGGGGTCTCACCTTCACCCGAACCACAGGGGAGGCTGCAAGGTGTGGATCCGGCTCCACAGTCGAGGCTGGGCAGACACAGCCAAGGCTCCACACGCACACCCTGACACCCCACGGCAATGCGATATGCACTGATGGGCAATGCTGCGCATTAGGAATCACTGAACAATGTGGGATATGAGGCACTTTGGGAACGGCTGGTCCTCAAGAGATGCTCGAGTCACACTCCCAGGTGGGGATCTGCACCCAGACCCCGTCCCCTCTGCCAGCTCCCCTTGCACTTCCACACCTCCCCAGTGCTGGAGCAAGCATCAGGTTATATTTCAAGGCCTGGCTTCCCAGAAAGCAAAAGCTCTCCAGGAATGCTCCCAAGAGGCAAAGGACTGACATAACTCAGCAGCTCTTGATGCTCTGCCTGTTTTGGAGGACAAAGCAAAGACAGCCCCTAATGTGGAAACTACAGCTGCCAGAATCACAAGCAGGACCTACAGCAAGGGCAGTATTTTGTAACACAAAAGTTGCATTTGTGACGCTCATCTTGACTAAGACTTTAAAACCAGTAACAATCTGTTTGGCCAAAGTAGCTAAAAGCAGTGAATGTACCACAAAGTTCCAGTTAGCTGTACCCACTGACACCTGGGGGGTGGACAGTATCTGACCTGTGCTCTATCCACCTTTGTGGCAGTGGCATAAGGTACAAACCAGCAGCACAGAAGGTAGCCTGCTCTGTTTGCAATAAGAATTTGGTATTTTGTCACAGTGATTTTCCTCAAATGAACTCACTGGTGTGTGTTTTATCAGATGTATTTAACCTGAGCCAACTCTCTGCTAGTGTAAAATCCTAAGTACCCTAAAATCAATTTAAGCAGCTAGTATCCCAACTTCAATGCTCCATTTTTTAATGCCTAGCATGTACCTATAAAACTATATTATAAAATATTTTAACAGGCCAAAGGATTCCTCTACACAGCTTTTCTTTTTCAACCATGGAACAGGAAAGGTTTGTTGGTTTGACTTTGGTGGTGCCACAATATTTTCTCCTCCAATGTTTCTCTTTCAGTTCCAGCTGCCTCCAGAACCATACAGTTCATATTTCACCAGTTTTACTAATGTTGCCTTAGAGAAAAGAAATCAGTTCTTCACTACTCAAGACTTCCCTGCTAGTCTGAGGTTTCCTAACACTGTAGCTGAGCATTGCAGTACCAAGGTCAACTGCCCAGTGCAAACAGCCCAATGTCCCCTGTCCCTTCCACACCCATATACTCTGGATACTGTAGTTGTTCTGCAATTAGCCACTTGCTCATCTCTCAGCTTTGGCTACATACAGCCACAACATCTGAAGTATGAACATAGCCAGCCAAACAAATAGAGCAATTATTTGGACAACAAAGTCCTGGTCCACAACATGTGCTACTGAAATGCAAATAATTAGTAATAGTAAAAATACAGACAGCAACTGAAATGTGGACACTGGATTTCTTTGTGCCAGAGGCTCCTGCCCCACAGCCAGTGGGAGTTTGACTGCTGAGCCTGCTGTAGGCTGGCCTGGCCCCCAGTTGGGAGTTGGCTATCGGTGTGGGACACCTCCTCGCTCTGTGCCCTTGCTACCTGCTAACCTATGCTGCCCCTGGGCATTGCAAAATACAGCAAGGGACTGGCAAGATTAAAAATGCAGGAGATTTAACAACACCGGAGATATCGATTGCTACAATCAAGAGGTTAATTTTCACTTCCCCCTGAGTGCCACATAATAATCACAGCCCGCACGGAGCGTGTGTGTGTGTGTACACCGACTCCACAGCACGCCAGCCTCTGACATTTCAGTCCTTGTGCAGTATGAAGCAAACACCACCTGACTGCCGGTCCTGGTCCTGTGCTGGGTCTCCCCCTGCTCGGACAGCCTGTTAATGTTTATCTGAGGAACAAATGCTTTTGGCTACCTGCGGCCTCACACACCGCACCATGCCATCACACCCCTCCTTTGCCCAAGTGGCTCACACTCAAAGGACTTTGGGCACTGCTGACAAACCCAGCAAGGCAGCGGGTGAGGACAGTGACAGGCGCAGACATCAAAGCAGACAGCAAGAGGCAGGAGGGAAGGGCTCTCGGGTACGTTCCCTGCCTCTGCTGTAGCACTGAGCTGGAAAGGCTGCAAGCGGAGCTGAGCCAGCACCCCCGTCACAGGGCTAGAGGAGGAGGAGAGGGCTCTTACAGCTGTTCCTCCTTCCCAGCACCCTTTCCAAGCAGGATCAGGACTGCTTTGGGAAAGAAAGAAGGGAGCACTAGGAGTTTCCAGACCCCAGCCCCACAAAAGCCAGGTGAGGTTTTACCACGAGGGGTGTGAGAGCTCGAGGAGTTCGTCGCTGCCCTGCACCTTGCAGCAGCCGTAGCAGCACCAGCAGCAAACCCCCTTGCACTGCTCTTCCAGGTTCCAGGGGAGACTGATTCCCCTCCAGCCCTCCCTGGTGCTGCCCCTTTCGGTACCGGCCCTTGAGGAAAGTCCTTCTTAGAGCAGCCAAGAGAGCCAGGGCCACACGGGGACTGCAAAGAGGCGTCGGCAGCCAGAAACCCTGCTCCGTTCCCTCTCCCAGCCTCTGACCTCCCCTGCTTCCTTCCAGTGCTGCCCCAATCCCTCTCTTGCAGTGGGGGGTAACAGCCCGAGAGGCCTCAGCTCCGGGTCACCCCGGGTAACTGGTCACCCCACTGATCTGCAAAGCCAGCTCGGCCGGAGACCCACCGATCCCCAAACTGACCACGACATGTCCCCCAGCAGCAGCGCAAGCCAACCCCCCCCAAGGCGCGGGGCAGGTGTGTGGAACTGCGGGGAGTGGGGGGGGAGAAGAGCCCGCACACACACCGTACCCGAGCATCCCCCCGCGGGACACCGCGGCCCCACGGAGCGCCGACAGGTCCCGTGAGCACCGTTTCCTCGCACCTCTCCCGAGCGTATCCGAAAAGACCCCGCACTTGCACAGCCTCCCGGCCCTCGGGGCCAGCCGAGGGTGCAGGCAATGGGGGGGGGGGGGTGTCCCCGTGTGTCGTCCCCCCGCCCCGATCGCTGCTTCCCTCCAGCTAGGGACATTGAGAGAGCAAGCCCTCGGCAGCAGTGCCGTCCCCGTCCCCGTCCCCGTCCCCGTCCCGCAGCCCACACCTGCCCGCCCGTGTCTGCCGCCCCCCCTGACAGCCCTGCGCGCCCGCCGCCAACTCTTGCAACCCGGGAACAAAATGCAAAGCCTGCCGCAAGGGGGGGGGGAGGAAAAAAAAAACCCCAAACCAAAACTCTTCACAAACCAACCAACCTACAGCCGTCCCGCGCCCAGAGCTGTGCTTCCAGTCTGCCAGTGAAAATAAAAAACCGCCTCCCATCCCACCTCCTCGGGCTCACTGTCTTTTGAGACTTGTAGTTAAACAAACCGGGCAGTTTAAAAGCTTTGGTTGGAAGCTCAACGAAAGGACCGTCTGTGGTTGTAGCAGCATTTCACCCGACTTCCCGGTACCCCATTCCGGAGTCCCACAGTCACAGTCTCGCGTTCTGGGCAAACAGTCCATTTATTTCTAATACTACTATTTCAGCAGAAAGTCCTCTAGCACTTGGCAAAAATAGCGTTCGTTTTTTTCTGGGCGTTGTTTAAACTGTCTCACTGCCGGCAATAGCCGCGGATCCGACACAGCCCTACCGAGCCGCGCTCAGCCCCGCTCCTGCCATCCCTCCCCCGGGGATTTTGTCGCAGGATGCCACCCCCGCACGCTCCCCTGGGCTGGACCACACTGGTACCACCGCCCGGGGCTGCCCTCCCGGCCGGGGAGGGGTCCCACGGCCACCGGCTCGGTTACGAGAAGGGAACCGGGAGGACTCCCGCGGGGCGCCCGGCTCCGCAGACGGGGCTGCCGCCGGGGCGGGCGGCTGCAGCCCCAGCCCCGCTCCCACCGCCCCGCACGGAGCTCCCGCAGCAGCCGCCGGCTCCTAACAGTAAGGACATGAGGTAGTTCAACACCGGCCACGGCCAGGAAGTTTCCTCCGGGGGCGAGCTTTCTGCACAGCCCTAAATTTCCCGTCCACCCCCCACCCCGCTCAGGGGACCCACGGTCGCGCCCCTAAACAGGCAGACTGCAAGCAGCCCGCCCGCCCCTGCCCGGGACAACCCCCCACCTGTTTGCGGAAGGTTTGCCGAGTTTGGGGGTTCTTGCAGCCATGAGGTTTTAGGTGCGCTCTAGGAGAGGACCATTATTATTATTAACGGGGGGTTTGGGTTTTCCTTAGAGAGAAAGACTCCTCTTTACAACCGATGTGTGCCACGCCAGAGCCCATCGCGTCTCGAAGCTACCCGCTAGGCACAGTACCTTTGCAGTGCAAAAAGTCCTCCGGGTGAGGGAAGGAACCCTCTTCGCAGAGCAAGTCGCAGGTTTTATCCGATGCCAGGGGGTAGCCGTTGTCCTCCTCGTTGTAGTCGCTCTTGCCGTTGCTGTTTGAGTAGCCGTTGGCATACATTTTCAGGGCGGACCTGCGGAGGCAGAGGAGCTCCTGGAAGGCATACCTGAAGTCTGGGCTCCGGCAGTAGATCAAAGGGTTGAAGGCAGAGTTGACATAGCCCAGCCAGTTCAAGAGGATGTACACGTACTTCGGTATGATGTCGTCCTGGATGACGTGCACGATGTTGACGATGAAGAAGGGCAGCCAGCACAGCGTGAAGGTGCCCATGATGATGCCCAGGGTCTTGAGGGCCTTGTGCTCCTTCAAGAAGAACTTGGAGGAACGGCGGTGCCCAGCTCCCCCTTTCTGCTCCTGCTCCTTGTTCTGGGTGTGAAACCTCCCCTCGCTCCTGTCTATCTTCTGCAACTGCTTCTTGGCCACCTGGAAGACCCTGGCGTACACGAATACCATGACCACGAGCGGCAGGTAGAAGGAGATGATGGAGGAGGCGATGGCATACGCTTGGTTGGTGAAGAAGTCGCAACACGTGTCCTTCTCGTAGCACAGGATGGCCTCGACACGGTCTGCCCGATACCAGTGCATTTGGATGGGCAAGAAGGAGGTGAGGGCTGAGACCACCCACACCACGAGGATGACCACGCGCGCCTTGCTCTTGGTCAGCAGGCTCTGGTACTTGAAAGGGGAGGTGATGGCGAAGTACCGGTCCACGGCAATGACGCAGAGGGTCTCGATGCTGGCAGTGACGCAGAGCACGTCCAAGGAGGTCCAGAACTCACACCAGAAGTTCCCAAACTTCCACATCTCCATGATGATGTGGCTGGCGCCGAAGGGCACCACGGCCAGCCCCATCACCAGGTCAGCGCAGGCCAGCGAGGTGATGAAGTAGTTGGTGACAGTCTGCAGGCGCTGGAACCGGGCGATGGCTGTGATCACCAGCACGTTCCCGAAGACGATGGCCAGCACGATCACCGACATGAGGATCCCCATGCCCACCATCCACACGTCCCGCGACAGCGTGGGGTCGGCGGCGCTCTCGTTGGCGCTGACGTTGCCGCCGGGCAGCTCGGTGCCTGCCACCCCCATGGCCCC